ACACACACCTGGTACACGCAGTGGGTGCCTTCCCCAGCCCCAGGACTCCAGGGTCGGGCTCCAGCGTCTGCCTCCATCCTAGCACTGCCTACGAGCACATGGGGCCGCGTTCACTCCCAGCCCCGGGGTGGGGGACAGTGTGTGGGTGCTTACAAGCCTCGGGGCGACCATCCCTCAGACCCCCTGCAACTTACCTCCAGTCCTGGACCATCACCCCTCGCCTTGGGTCTGTGGGAGGGGCGCAGGGACACGCGCGGCGCCAGGGCTGTGCCGACAGCCCCGGGAGGTGTCCTGTGGGTCACACACACAGGGATGTGTTCAGGTCATAGATATCATACACAGAGTTGGTCATGGCGAGGATGCAGCTGTGGCTTCTATGGGCAGCCAGGGAGGCCGGGGGGCAGCGGGGCTTCGCTGCGGGGAGCGGGTGACAGGGCCAGACTTTGGTCAGAGGTGACGCAGCCGGGGGCTCAGCCCGGTGGCCCCGCGGTGTGACGGGGTGCAGCAGCCCCACGCCCACCCCGGGCAGCCGCCCCGCTCTGCAGCGGGTGGCAGGAGGGGGCCGGGGAGGGGGGCTGGCACCACGGCGGGGGGCGGCAGCCGGTGGGGTGGCCGCGGCCCTCACCCCGCGGCACAGGGCGGACACGAGGCGAGACGGGACTCCCCACGCGGCCCCTCCGGCGCACGTGTCCCTGTGCCTGGCGCGGAGGTCACAAGTTGGAAGACAGCCTGGACTTGGCCGGGTCCGTGTCGGGCGTGCTGGCCGCTGAATCCTTGCGGGCTGAGTCCTGTGGCAGGGTGGGCGGCGGGGTGAGCCCCGGGCCCGTGGGTGCCGGGTGGGCCGGAGCCCCCCGTGAGGCCGCCTGGCCCCGCAGCCCGGCCGGGGGCCCAGGGCCCGGTGAGGCAGTGGCCGGGCCCCCGCTGATGGAGGTGCAGGACTCGCGGGCAGAGGCCGGAGGGCTCTGGGTGCTGCCAGCCACCAGCCCGTGGGGCAGGGAGGGCTGTGAGGCCGAGAGGGGCCGCGAATCCTGGCTGAGGCTGCTGGTGTGCAGCGCCTGTGTGCTCTTGTGGGCAGCCAGGCGCTGGGGCGAGCCGGGCGCTGGCTGCTGGCTGAGGGACAGCTGGGATCCCAGCGGGCCCGGGGCACCTCCATAGGCAAACGTCCGGCTGGCCAGCGGGCTTTGGGTGGGCGGGCTGGCCACGGCCGCGGCGAAGGCGCTGGTGGAGGCGGGCAGGGCCGTGGGCTGCGCCGGGTCCTGCGAGGGCGAGGGGTTGGTGTGGGGCGTTGGGGGCTGAGGCTGCGGTGGGGGGCTCTGCTGCAGCAGGACAGGGGAGACGGCGAAGGGGCTGGGCACGGCCTGGGCATACTGCAAACGGCGCATCATGCGGGGCGAGCCCAGAGCCATGGAGCCCACCAGCGGGCTCGCCATCTGCGGACAGAAGCTCATGGCAACGGCTTGCTGGAGGGTGGCGATGGCAGAGGTGACCTGGGGCTGGACGGGGCTGTACATAGCTGTGTGCTGCTGCAGCTCTGCCTGCTGCACCATCTCCCGGTCGTACTTGACGATCTCCTGGATGATCTCGTTCTCCTGATTGTTGAAGACACCTGAGTTGAGGTCGTGCTGCACTTTGTGGAGCAGGATCGAGTTCTTCTTCCCTGCAGGGAGGGGGCCAGAAGAGGGAATACCATGAGTCCCACACTGGGACTACGCTGGGTTCCCATGCAAGCCATGGCTGTTCCCTCTACTGGGACATCCCTCTCCCCCTCCAGACCCCACCGTGCCCTACCGATGCGGTCAAGGCGGTCAATGGCCACGGTCTCAAAGGCCCGTCTCATCATGGGGTATTCCTCCAGCACCTCGTTGAAGTTGTCCACAGAGAGCGAGTAGAGGCGGCAGTAGGTGTCGGCGCGGACGCTGGCCGTGCGCCGGCCACGGGTCAGCAGGCAGATCTCTGCGTGGAAAATGCCAGGGTCAAGGTCACAACACCATCAGTGAGAACAAAATGGGCCCAAGCCAGGAGCAAGGGGTGAGAACCACCACATGGTGGGTGCCCCAGGACAGGGCGGGTGCCCCAGTGCCTCTCACAGAACCCAAGAGGGTACCCGGGCTCAGTCCTGCAAGCGCTCACCTCCGAAGTAGGAGCCATCAGAGAGTTTCATCTCCTTGTTGCCCTTGGTGAGGATGCTGACCACCCCGTGCTGGATGAAGTACATCTTCTTGCCAATGGTGCCCTCACGGATAATGTAGTCACCCGGCTGGAACACCTCAAACTTCAGCTTGGTGAGCATCGCCGTGACAAAGTTGGGGTCTGCGTTGGCGAACAGCGGCATCGAGGCCACCAGCTTGCGGCAGTTGAAGTTGACAATTTCCTGTGGGGAAGCAGGTGAGCACAGGAGGCTGGGACACGTTTCCACAGGGACATACTCCCCACCACCAGCAGGCTCACGGACACCCTGGCACACAGGTCTTGCATGGACACACACTCGGAGCTGCAGAGCTGTAGCAAGAGGTGTTCGACCCCAAGCACATGCAAGGCAGGAGCCAGTAGGAGCCACGCCACTCCTTGACGCAAGACAGGGAGCAGAGGGTCCCTCCCTTTGGGGCAGCTATCCCCCACACCCAGCTCTCCAGCCCTCACCTCACGCAGGGGCTCGTTGAGCTCCCCCAGGATGCTGTCCTCGTCAAACATCTTGCCCTGGTAGCGATGCTCGTAGTAGTCGTGAATCTTCTGGCGGAAGTCGGCGGGCAGCTTGTGGAAGGACATGTACTGCTCCACCTGCTTGTACTGTGGGGAGAGGTGGTGTTAGCCGGGGTCCCCCACACACATTCCCACTCCATGGGGCCAGTCTCGCTTTACCTCCCCATCCCTGCTCCCAACTGGGAACACTCACCCCACCCGGCTGCATCTCCAGGAGGGGACACACCAAGCTGGGCTCAGGACAGAAGCCGTGGGTCCCGTTCAGCCCAGTCCTACCTTCTCCTGGTACTGGCGCCGGGAGGAGTCCAGTGACTGGATGAGGGCGGTGGCGTGGCCGATGAACATGGCGTAGCAAGTGGCCCCCACAATCATGCTCAGCATGGTCAGCCAGATGTCCGTCATGCTCTCGGGAGCCTGCTTCCCATAGCCGATGCAGAGCATGTGGCTCATGGACTTGAAGAGGGCAAAGGAGTACAGCTCACTCCAGGAGTCGTTCTGCAGCGACAGGGACGGTGGCTCAGCCCATGCTGGGGCTCAGTTGCACGTGTGTGTGTGTGTCTGTGTCTGTATCTATGTGTCTGTGTGTCTGTGTGTGTGTCTGTGTGTCTGTCTGTGTGTCTGTGTCTGCCTGTGTGTGTGTGAGAGCAGCGCCCAAGGGCACAGCACCCTGGCTCCTGCCAGGCCACGGCCCCGGTTCTCTGCCTGCCTCTCTCAGCAGCCCTCAGCAACAGGCATTTGTTGAAAAGCAAATTTTCAAACTTTCCAAACTTCTCAAACTTCCCCGGAGAAGCAGGCAGGGAAGGAGAAGGCAGGGGAGGAAGAGGGGGAAGCCAGGCAGGAGGGAACGGAGCAGAGATGGAAACTTGATGGAACAGGATGAGACAGACAGGGGGAGAAGAGCCATTTGCAGGAGGCTGTGGGGCTGAGAGGGAGCAATTAGAAACAGGGCACATTATTTATTAATAGCAGCTTTATGGCTAATGAGCAGGAGAAGGCGGCAGGGGACAGGACCAAGAGCCCAATGTCAGCATATTCCTCCCGCCCGGATCGATCCAGGCCCTGCGAGACCTCACCAGAGCAACGTCAGCGCCCGGCACCGGGTGCTTTGCACACTTTGGGGTGCCCTGTAAACAACAGGGCACTGCAACCCTGGCCAGCGGGGGGATGGCATCTCCTGGGGTCAGTGCATGGGGGCCAGATGACATGAGGATGGGTGGGGGCTCAGGGGATCAGGTAGGAGCATATTAGGGAGTGGATGGTACTCACCACCATCCCATTGATGGAGACCCAGCAGTTCTGGGGGAAATCCTGCAGCATGGGCACCAGGAACTGGAGGCAGCCGTCCCAGTGGCAGAGCAGCAGCATCATGCCAATGAGGTTGATGATCCTCATCACTGCACTGGCCAGGTCGTAGGTCATGTGGAAGATCTGGGTGGGTGGGATGGCAGCAGGTGAACGTGGGGACCCTCCTCCACTGCCCAGCCCTGCTCAGGGCACTGACCCGCGTGGCCTCTGATGGAAGCAGCTCCCGTGGCTGGCCCAGCTCCAGCCCTGAGGCTGCTGAGCTCCACCTGCCTATTCACAGCTGGTGGGATGGGGATGCCCCCGTGCCACTGCCCAGGAAGTGGTGATGGCCACGAGCCTTGATGAGCATCAGCCAACACCAGCAGACGCTCAGAGAGAGACAAGTAGAGCACTGAGGAGGGAGTGGGGCAGCCTCCAGGGCACCGAGTGCAGAGTCTGGGCCAAGCCACAGAGCAAAGTCGAGCACATCCCCTCCAGACTCTAAGGCACGTCCCCTCACAGCCCACACGGCCCCGAGTGCACCCACCCTGCCTCCTGCACTGGGGACCCCAAGGGCCAGGGGTCCTGCCACCCTCCCTGGCGCTCCCCAAGCTCCTGGAGGGGCAGGGAGCCAGAGGGGAGCAAGGCAAGGAGCACGGAGCTGAGCAGGGCAACAGCGTCCTGGTGCTGGAGCAGGGGATGGTGTGCCAGCTTGTGCCAGCCAAGCTGTCACCAGTGGTGGGTGATGTACCACGGCCCAGAGATGCCCCAAACCTTCCAGGAAGGGTCACACCCCCCCACTGGCCACACACACAGCCCTGCAGATCCCCTCCACCCTGTCAGTTCTTCAGGCAGCCCCCAGCCCTGCCGCACTCGCAGGGGCCCCATCCAGAGATGCTCTCTCCAGCCATCCCAGTGCTGCCAGCAGGTCCCAGAGCAGTCCCAGAGCAGGTCCTCACCTCCTCCCACTGGTGGATGTAGCGGATGAGCCGGGAGAGGCGGAGGAGCCGCAGGAGGCTGAGGATCTTGGTGAAGCGGACGATGCGGAGGGCACGGGCTGTCTTGTAGACGTCCGAGTCTATGCCCTTCTCCACAATGAGGAAAACATAGTCCACGGGGATGGAGGAGACAAAGTCCACCACAAACCAGGTCTTGAGGTACTTCTTCTTGATCCTTTCGGGGTCCAGGATGATTTCTGTGTTGTCCTCAATGACAATCCCTGTCCGGAAGTTCAGCACCAGGTCCATCAGGAAAAAGGTGTCAGAGACCACATTGAACACGATCCAGGGTGCTGTGGTCTCCTCCTTGAAGAAGGTGATGCCCACAGGAATGATGATCAGGTTGCCCACCATGAAGAGCAGCATCGTGAAGTCCCAGTAGAATCTGGGGAGTGAGAAGATGGAGGGGGGGGTGTCACCAGTGCCCCACGGCTGCCCCCATGCCGAGGGGACCTGGCCACAGTGCCCCGCCCTCCAGAACCCACACTACTGGGGTGTTGTCACTGTGATGCCATCTCAGCCACAGGAACCTCCCTCTCCCCAGAGAGGACACCTTGCAACCCCCTCTCCAGGCTGCCCCCGGGGTGATCTTGCAGCCAGCAGAGCCCCTGACTGAGGTGTAGAGGGGGGTGCAGGATGAGCCCAGGGCTCCCACTGGGCTGCCAGAGGCAGCAGATCCTGGGGGGAGAGGAGAATGATGACGCCGGACACTGGAGGGGTGCACCCTCCGGCCGAGCTGCCCCGGGGAAGCCCGAGGGCTGAGGAGTCCCCCAGACCATCGGCATCCCTCTACCTCACAGGTGAAGGCAGGACGGGAGATTGGTGGGAGCAGTCCCCCCTTTCCTGCTCCCAGAGGGGGGGGACAGCGGTCAGTCCACAGGGACAGTCAGGGCCACCCTACCCCGCGCCCCCCTGGGCCAGGCTGGGGTCCCGATTTGGGGGGTGCCAGGGTGGGGCTGCCCGTCAGTCCCCGCAGCGCTGGGGCTGCGATGGAAGGAGCCGCCGCGGCTCCGGTGCAGCGGAGCACGTACGGCTGCAGTCGGCGGCGGCAGCGCCCGCAGCCCCGGCCAGACGCGGGGGCGGTGGGTGGGTGGGCGGCCGCCTCTGCCCCTGCCCCTGCCTCGGCTGCGCGGCTCCTCCCCCCCTCCTGGCTCACCCCGTTCTTCTTCCCTTTCCCCTCGTCCCCCTCTCCTGGGCCACCGACGACCTTTCTGAGCATCTGCAAGGTCACAGCAGCTCTGTCGTGGCAGGATGGTGTGGAGGCCACCTCGGCCCTCCCTGCTCTGGCCGGGGGGCAGGAGCGGGGGGGATGCTCCTCAGTGCACGTGCAGGGACACTCAGGACCCTCGCCCACACACGTCTGCTCAGCCCACCTGGGCAGGGGTCCCTGAGAGCTGCGGGATGATGGGCAGGGGGTGCCATGGCCATGCCGTGCACGCGGTGCCCTGGGGTGGGGGGACAAGGGGGAGACACCCCCCTGCACACAGAAAGGGGCGATGGGCCGGGTCCCCCCCACTGCGCAGACTAGCGCAGGACCAGGAGCCACATCCCAGCTCCTGACCTTTCTCCAATGACACCTTCCCCATGTGAGGTGTTGCTGTGGCAACCGTGAGTGATGTCACTGCTGCAAAACGATGACTTCACACCAGGGCGGTCCCCAGGGCACCCTCGGCAGAGGAACTGTGCCCCCCTTCTGCCCCTACACCGAGCTTCAGCTCTGGCACCAAACAGGCAGAGAGGCCACGGCCATGGTGGGCCTGGCCAGACCCCCAGGCTCCCACGCACAGCACGACCTGCCAGAGATGCCAGAGCCAGCGGAGTCGCTGTGGGGCTGGATCTGTCCCCAGACCCCTGGCAGCTCCCACTGAGACTGACCCTGCTGTGCTGGTCCCACGGGGGCATTAGCCAGGCAAAGCTGCGAAGAACAAAGATTAAATAACCTCGCCAGCTGGGCAAAACTCTCCTCTGGCTCCAATTCCTTTGCAATCTGGCTGAGCCAGGGCAGAATTCAGCCTGCAGAGAAAAGATAAACTGCTCCTGATTTCCCCACCGCACACAACTGACCCTGTGCAATCGCCCCGGGGACCAGGGTGCGATGCCAACGCTTTCTTCCTTGGAGGGTTCATGTGCATGGAAGAAAAGATCCAATCCAGGCTACTAAAAATATCTGAAAACAAATTAATCAGGATCCTTGACATCCCTCCCTTGCTTCTGACCCAATTGTATGACAGTGATGACGACAGGAGGTGCCCAAAGCCCCCGCGAGCTGCCGCCTTCCCGCTCTGTCGCCCGCCCAGCGCCTGGCACGGCGGTGCTGCTCTGAGGTCCTGGGCAAGATGCAAGTTGGGGCCAAGCCATACCGGGGGGCACAGCCACGGTATGCCAGGCTGGTCCCTGCTCAACTCCACTGGCAGCACACAGAGCTCCAGGGTCTGCTGGAGATGATCCAGCGACACCCCTCTATGCTGATCCCATAGCTCGGCAGTGAGTTGCATGTGTGCCAGCCTGCCCAGCAGTGTGGAGCTCCCCGAGACCCCCCTCTGCAGGAGGATCCCCTGAGGTCTGAGTCCTTTGGCCCTGATGAGGCCCAGCTGCAAACAATCAGGCTGCCTGGTGGGCAGGGGCAGCATGGGATCAGTGCAGGATCTATCAGCACGGGATTGGCACTTTGCAAACTCACACTAAATACTTGTACCCTAAAAACGAGGTTGCTATGAGAAGTGGGTTACAAAGCCAATGGCATACGTTTCCCTGAGCTAAGAGAGCAGTGGTGGCCAACATCATCTGCACCCCCAGGTCCCAGGAGAGTCAGTTGTGATGAATGATTGGTGCTGTTCTCTCTTGGAAAAGCCTTTTACCCTGGGGTTCCTGGGGAGGGGGGTAAAGGCTTTGCAAACTGCTCAAGGACCCAAACCTTCACAATCCCCCCAGCCAGTCCCAGCCTTTCCTCCCCAGTGACCAAGTGATGGCTTCCAGCACTCCCACGTTCAACTGCCCCACACTGATGCTGCAGAATAAGGGGCCCAGCTCCCCAACACCCTGACCAGAGGGAACGGGAACATCAGGACCAGTGGCAGTGCTGGCACATCCATCAGGAGCAAGAGCAGCTGGCAAGCCCGGTCCCTCTGCTCAGTAGCCCACACAGTGGCACCATGCAGGCAGAGGCAAAGCCCCTGAAACCACTCAACCCTGGATGAGGAAGGCTCTGGCCAAGCAGCACCAGGGACATGTGCTCTGGAAGCATCTTTGCCCCCGATTCAGTTGTGAGACCAGCTCTTGCCACAGAAATTCACCAGCAGCGAGAACCCCCTGCTCAGCCCCAGCCCCAGTCCCAGCCCAGTCTCATGGAAGGCTGTGGGTGCCAGGCTGGCACTGGGGGATGCCATTGTAGTCCCTGGACAGCCACTCAGCAGTCACAGGGTGATGGGCACTGCCATCATCCCCAAATCACTGGCTGTGCACAGCTCCCACAGCCCCAGAGCAGCTCCTCGGGGCCGGTGCAGAAACCACAACAGAAGCGATGAAGGAGTTGGCACTGCCCGGGCTGTTCCTCCCAAAACAGAGACCAGAATTGGCAAAGCCACCAACGACCACTGCCCAGCACCCAAAAGGATGTGGCCCTGCTCCAGCACACACTTACAAGGTCTCTTTTATCAGATTTGCAGCTCAGGATCTCACCAGCCGCCCTGGCTGCTTCCTCGTCATTCAATATTTATGTAAATAGCAACCTCGGTTCCTGGAGCAAATCTGTCCTGAATTGTGGGTGAACGACGGCAGTGCCATTGCCATGAGAAGTCAGGATCACTAAATGACGATGATTATGAAATGATATCACAGATGCAGATGGGTAATGGGTTTTGCAGGGCAAACACGACCAGGTCACGCTCCATTATCATTATTGGATAAATGCTTTTTGATTACTTTAAGGCAGGACAACGTGGGACGGATGGACACGTCCCCAACGTGCACAGGCAGAGCGGGTTCCTCACGCCCAGGCTCAGCCCCACGTGGGCCGATCCCGTTCCTGAGCATGGTTGTGGAGCTGGAGGATGCCGTGGCTCTGCCTGCAGCTCCTCCCCGCTGGGCAGGGAACTCTCCTACGCCACTTCCAGTATCAAAACACAGGCAGACGCTCTGCCCCAATGGGTTTCAAGTCTTGATAGCGGCTCCAGGAGGATGGAGCCCGGGCTGGGCAGGACAGTCAGGGTGACTCTCCAAGGTCACCCTGGCACCCGCCTGCTCGCTGCAAGTGCCAGTCCAGGGAACAATGCTGCTGCACCTTGGAGAGGCCTCTGAGGCCTCAGCCCACTGCAAGCTGACTGCAGGGAGACCCTGCTCTCAGGAGCACCGTGGGCTCTGCCAGGTCAGAGGAGCTGGGCAGGCTTTGGCCTGGGGCAGGCATGGGGGTCACTCTGCTCCCAGCCCCGGCAACAGCCCACAGCTGCTGAGGCTGAGGAGGAGCATGGGCAGTGCAGAGGGGCCCAGTCCCCCAGGATCCACCTGGCACCACCTCTGCTCTGTCACAGCAGGGCCAGTGGAGCTCCCTCCACCGCAGGACCGGCAGTGACCAGGCGGTGCAGCCACTGCTGAACCCGGCCCTGCAGCAGAACTCCATGCCCAGCCATGAGACAAGGAGGGGGCTCCATTGTGTAGCCACAATGTGGAAGGGTGCAAGACCCTGTGCAGGAAGGCGGCCCCAGGGGGAGGCCGAGGGCCTCCAACTGCTCCTCTGGAAGACGCCAGATCAGCCCAGGGCAGCGCATGAGGGCGGGAGCAGGAGATGCAAGGGCTGTTCCCTGCCCTGAGCCCATGGTCACCTCCACCTGCCTCAGGGAGCCCTGAGCCTCAGGGATTGGCATCCTGATTGTCAGTGTCAGGAGAGAACAGAATTTGAGCTCTGGCTCAGGGACATCCCCCACCCAGGCACCCAGTGAACCCTCCCCTGAGCCGCCCCAAACCAGGCACCAGCAGAGTCAAAATGACTCAGAGCTGAGCCCCTGAGCCCCACCAGCCTCTGGAAGAAGGCTCCCCAGCCCCTTTGAGGTCACTGGACCAGAGAGCCCCAGTGCTGGCTCACCAGTAATACCAGCGGGGTCTTCGCCCCCCTCCATCCCCTCAAGGTGCGATGCTGCCTGCCCCAGACAGTGCAGCCCCAGGCAGTGCAGCCCCAGGCAGTGCAGCCCCAGGCAGTGCAGCCATCCCTCCCTCCCAGCAGCTTTCACACAACCCGGGAAACGTTTGCCACTCCAGAGCTCCCCAGGGCTCGTGGGCCAGGAAGGAGATGGAGCTGCAGAGCTTTTCTCCTGGTTTGCCATTCCTTGCCTGGAAGATACATAGGCTGGATCTTGGGGACTCAAGTCATCTCAGAAGTGGGAAGAATCCCCCTCAAACTGGCTGAACCCCAGGGACAGGATCAGGCCTCCATGGGGGAGGGGGAGTCATCACAAGGCTCTGCCTGGCAGTGGCACAGCACGTCCCCCCCACCCAGCACTGGCACTTCCCCGGAGAGGGGGACCCCGAACCCCAGGGTGCTCCAGGGGCAGAGCCAAGGCCCGGTGGGGCTAAGGGAGGCCGAGCCTGGTCGAGCCTGCCGAGGCTCCGGGAAGGACGAGGGGACGCCCTTGCCCGGGCACTGAGAGTGCTCCCGGCATCCCCGGGGCGGCGGCTGCTGAGCTGGGGAGGGGGAAGCCCGGCTCGGCTGCGCTCGAAAGGGAGATGCCCGGCTCGGCCCCTCCCGCGCCCGGTGGCGGCTCAAGGTGCCCTCGGCCCGGCCGCACCGGCGGCCCTGCTCCCCGGCCCGGCTCGATGCCCGGCCCCGCAGGATGCGGGATGCGGCCGAGCCCCGCGGGTACCGCCGCACCTGAAGTCGCTGTAGGGATGGATGATCCAGGCCCCCGCCGACTTGACGCGCTCCTGCTCCCGCTCTACCGCCTTCTGCGAGCCGAACATCCGCAGCGAGAACTTGTTGACGCCGGGCTGGAGCATCGCCCCGAACTGCCGCTGCATGAAGCTGGCCTGGCTCCCGCGGACCTCCTCGGCGGCATCCTCGCCCGCGCCCTCCTCGGCCGCCTTGGCCCCGCCGGGGGACGCGCCGCCGCCGCCGCAGGAGAAGGAGACCTTGGGCTCGCGAGGCGGCTCCGGGCCGGGGCTGCGCGGCGGTTCCCCGCGACGGCACTCGCCGTTCGGGGACCCCTTCCCGCCGCGGCCCCGCGCCCGCCCGGTCGCCGCCGCCCCGCCGCGCTTGGCCCCATCGGCCGCCTCCTCCTCGGCCGCCGCCTCCCCGCCC